TTATTCAAAGTGTGTGAATACATTTTTTGGGATACCCTATATATATCATATATGTTATAAACCCAACACTACAGTATTGTAATTTTTGTTTATATAATCTCATGTCTATTAAAATAACTGAGAAGAAAAAATACTTAACTTTTCTGTATTTACCAATTATTATGCTTTTCATTTTTTCTTGTGGATTTGAGTTACCCTCTGGTATTACTGCCTGAAGGACTTCCTTTAGTATATCTTACAAGGGAGCTCCACCAGCAAGGAATTCTCAGTCTGTTTCCCTGGGCATATTACCTTCGTGTTTTGAGAGAGAGTTTTTCTGGATAAAGAATCGTGGTGGACAGCTCTGGGTTTCGTGGTGTTTTTTACACTAGTACTTTGAATTAGTCCTGCTGTGCCCTCTGAACTGATGAGAAGCCGGCGTTACTGCGTTGTTGTTTCTTTTTGTGGGATGAGTCCTCTCCTTGGTGCTTTTAAGATTTTTCTCCTGTCTTTGGCTTCCAACCTTTGGACTATAATGTAGCTCTGCTTTTACTTAGGGTTTGTTGTGCTGCTTTTATCTGTAGATTAAATTTTTTTTTAATCAAAGTTTAGAAGTTTTCAGCTAGCATTTTTCAAATATTTTGCCTGCCCCTCTCTCTCCTCTTCTCTGACTCCTATCACGTGTGTGCTGATATGCTTGGTATTGTCCAGCAGATCTCTGAGACTCTGTTAATTTTTTTTCTTTCCTTCAGATTGAATAATTTATATTAATATATCTTCAAATCCACTAATTCTTTTTACTGCCATCTCATATCTATCTACTATTGAACCCATCCAATGAATTTTTAATTTCTGTGTTGTACTTTTCAACTCTGGAATTTCCATTTGGTTCTTTTTGTAGTTTCTATTCGTTGATTGAGATTATATTTTTGCAGAGTCATTGTCATCATTTTTATCTTTTAAGTCTTTAAACAGTTTTCTTTAGTTTTTCATACATATTTATAATAGCTGTTTTGAATTCTTTGCAAATCCAGTATCTGGGCCCACTCAGGATTAATTTTTGAAAAAATGTATTGGTTTTGGGAGTACAGGTTAGTGGTTAGACAATCATGTACTTTACATAGTGTTCCCCTCAATATTTGTAGCACCCCAATTGGCACTCCACATAGTTTTCACAATATTATTAACTGTATTTCCTACACTTTACTTACACCCTTGTGACTATTTTGTACCTACCAATTGTATTAGTCACTTGTTTTCCTTAGTATGCTTCACACCTTTCTGTTCCATTGCATGTCTACAATTTCTTTGAAAGCTAGACATTTTTGATAATATATTGTAGCAGTTCTGGATTCCAATATTTTCCCCTTTTAGTTTGTCTTTTAGTTGTTGTTGCTGTTGTTTTTGTTTGTTTTAGTAACTTACCTAGGTTATATCTGTAGAAGTTGCCTCTCTGTAAGTGTGGCCATTGATGTCTTTGCTATTTTGTTTTCCATTCGTATTTTCATGTTTTATCCTGGCTTCCTTGGGGTCACCCAGCTCTGTCTACATAGCTTGCTGGGTAGCCAGTGATTGGACGGAGACTGTGCTCAGGTACCTGAAGCCAATAATCCTTCCAACCTTTGCCGATGGATGTGTACAGGAGTTGGGAGCAAGCTCAGAATTCAGTTAATGTCCAAGTTCACATCAGCTTTTACTTTCCACCAGGCCTTCTCGTATCTCCCCTGCACATGCGTGTAGTTCCTGTCAGCCAGGGACGCCTGGAGAGCTTGCCTAGCTCTTCTATAACTGTCTCCTCTCCAGAATCTCCCCATTACATTTCCGGCTGGTCTGCTGCTTGCCTCAACTGGGATTGCAACATCTGGCTAGCAGAGCTGTGGCTTTTTCTCTTCACTTAGTACTGTTTTTGCTATTTATACTGCCAGCGCTCCTGGGCCGTAGTTTCTGCTGGCTGTGGGGAATCAGGCCAGCCCCTCCGGCAGCACAGCCACTGGTTCCCCGGCCACCTCCACTCTGGGAAAACCGACCTGTCGATGGAGCCAGTGAAGGCAGAAGGGGATACGGAGGTATTTCTAGGCCAGAAGGCTGCAGACTCTCTGTGTCTAACTTGAAGTGCTAGCAGCTTTTTATGAATTAATCACTTTTCACATTTTTTATTTGCCTTTGGTTGATTTTCGCAGCCTGGAACATTTTTTTTTGGCAGTTTTTTTTTCAGTTTTATACTTGTCTTTCAGAGGAAGCTTTGCTGACCTCTACATTCTGCTGCAGTTGGAAGTCTACTCCTATTGCTATCTACTTATAAAACTATTCTTAAAAGATTATGCAAATAAACCTTTTTATAATTCCTATTTTAAGCGGATAAACATATCATAGCTTGGCTTTTTAAAACCAAAAGCATCCTTCTGAAACAATATAATTTAAAATCCAATTTAAACTTTTGCTTTTTAAAGGCAGTTATTCATGTTAACATATTCTGTCTAATTACACAGATATAAGTTCTCAGGAAAGTAAAGGGTAAAAAAAAAAATCTGTTCTTTTTTCCCAGGTGACCAAATATACATTAAAGAAATGTCTAAGCTGTTCTACAAGCTCTTCTAAGGCATGAAAGTCTCTATTATTTAAAAGGGTGTTTCACATGAGCAGTACTGTCACTGTATCTTGTTAGAACATAATCTTAAATGCAAGTGAGACTGTTTTTATGTTGTTTGAGGAAAAACGAGTATTAAAATGTTCTAGATTGTTGAAGTGTTTTTGAAGTGCCTGAGCTTTTAATTTAAATTCATTTAAATTATTTTTCATTAATTCCTTCTTGAATATCACTATATTGATAGTTCTAGTTGCTATAAATGTAACCTAGACTTTTTTGTTTTTACTAAGACTTCTCTTGCCTTTGGTTATAACCAGTTGTCAAATGTTCCTGAACATTTAGACATTAGTCAGTAATATTTTTACCATCCTGCATAACTCTACAGGAGCTTCCTGTTTTGAGCTATTGAAATTGGACTCTATTATAGGGTTTCATAGACCTTATTCTGGATGTCTGGGTGCTGTTATCCTTGTCTGTTTAGATACCAATGAGTGAAATAATGGCCAACTAAGTGCTTATTATAGGTCAGAACACTTTTCTGGCATTTTCTCACTGAAGGGAAATGACCTATGAAGTAGATGCTATTAGTCCCAGTTATCAGACGAGGGACTAGAGACATGAAATGGTTAAGGGGTTTGCCCAAAAGTTCACAGCTACTAAGTAGTGGAGCAGAACTTGACTCCAAACAGTAATAACTGCAGAGCCCATGTCTGCTCTTATCCACTTGCTATACGGACTGAGCAAAAGACGACTTGTAGTCATGATGTTCAAGTCTTTACTCAGCAGCATCAGCTGGGCAGGGCTGCAGTGTGACACTGGCGACACCTGCTTAGGAATGGTGTCCTGCACGGTATGTGTGCATGGTCTCTCAGATGAATGTCATACTCTGGTCTGGTTCTTCTTTTGAGGCCTTGTAAAGGTCAGGCCATGGGCCTGGAAGGAAGAGGCAAGGTCTTCACTCTGTGACAAAGCCATTCCTCATGACAGTCACCAAGTCCTCAAGAAAATGGAAGAGTGACATGTGAAGGTTCTTGGAGGACACTCTTGGGTGGTGGTTGTGAGGGCTTCCATCTGCCAGCCACAGTCTCCTCCTGGAGTCCCACGTGGGCCTGGGATCCCCAATACTGTAACACCTGGATCTTCAAGAGCCCTGTTGCTTTGTGTGTTTATTACCCTTTCAGTATTCCCAGGCATTTAGTAGCCTTGTGAACAGTCCCTCTACCTCAGCCATGGGCTTGGACTCGAGTATTTAAAGCTGGAGGAGCTTCCCCATGAGCAGGAAGTGGCCATGATAATCCTCAGGGGTCGCCACGGGGACAGTGAGTCTTGAAGAGGAGTGGAGGCTGTGTGGTTGAGGTGCCTCCCTGTTAGAGCCACTTCCATCCAAGTACTGAATGGAGCCTCTTTCATAAGGTCCTTAATCTCATTCCTGAGTGCTCTACCCTCCTGACCTAATCACTTCCCAGAGGACCCAACTCCTAATGCCATTGCACTGGGCACCAGGATTTCAACATACGAATTTTGGGGGCATAAACATTCATAGCATAGCAGTAATTGAATTTGCAGTCTCTGGCATAATGTTTAATCCACAGTGTAAATGCTTAAAAATGTATTATCAATAACTGTTCTCCTGTTGGTAGAATTTGTGCATAGATCATTCACTACACTGTAACCTTCTAGGGCTCCTCGTTGCTTGCCAAATGATGCCCACATCCCTAGCCTGACAGCAGTCTCACCTATATCTTACATATAGTCATTCTCTTATAAAGGCAGTGGAGTTCCACTGTATGGACTTTTAATTTATAGAAATAGCCCCATAAGCTTGTGAGAGACAAAAGGAAACAGATGAACTCAGAGAGACAGACAGAAGTAGATCAACTTAAATAGTGCCAGCCATTCTCCTCCCCACACCCATTCTACCCACTGAACAGGTGCCCACTGGCACTGAATGCAGTTAAGCCTGAAACAATTAACATGTTTATAAAATTTATGTTAAAAAAAGTGTGAATGATTTAGGTCCTCTTACCACTAACAAAGAGATGAATGGAATAGACTGTTGAGAAGGTCAGGCTAACTGGGCTTCACAGATGTCCTTGAAGGAAAGCTGAAGAAGGGCTGCAGACCAGAGGGACCACTAGCTGGCAGAGCGTTGGGGGAAGTGACCCAGGCGACCCACGTTCGTATTGTGTGAGCGAAGCCCTGCGCCCCCCTGTGACTCACGGTGCTCCCTCGTCAGTGCGCAGCTCCATCTCACCCCAACTTCTTCTCATGCTTCACGATGAACTGTACTTCAAAACTAAAATCTGCCTGTGTCTTAATTTAATAACTTGGAATTTAAAACAACTCTTTATTCTAAAGGAGGAAACCAGATTACGTATTTTAACTTTTTCGGAGTAACCCACACCGGCCATCGTGGGCCCTCTTATTCTTCCAGGAGCACCCCATACTTGGGCAACCCTTTTTTGTGCTGCATCCCTGCAAGACGAATGAATTCATGACTCCCGTGTTAAAGAATTCTCGAAAAATCAATAGGTAAGAAACACCATCAAGATACATTGGCTTTAACTCTTATTTTAAAAGTGTAAATCTTTTCATGTGACTCTGGAAGCTAAGCTAAAAAAGAAATATTCTTTGTAATAATAATAATGGCCAACATTTATTGATTTTTACTGCGTGCTAGGAGCTGTTCTATTCTAGATATATTAATGCATTGGATTTTTATAACGCCCCTCTGAGCCCAGTTCTATTATTTTACGCAGTTTACAGAGGAGGAAGCTGAAGCACGGAAGGGTTAAATGATTTGGCCAAGGTCACAAAGCTAGTTAAGTGGCAGAACTGGGATTTGAAAATTGAAAAACCAGGCGTCTTGCCTTAGAGCCATGCTCTTCATCACTGCACCCCACTACCTGAGCAGACACTATAAATTTTCAGTATAAAATGGGAATCATCAAGGGGAGTGTGGAGTCCCAGTGCCTTCGGCCACCTTGGTGAGGGATCCTCACAGGTTGTTGTTGTTTTTTCTGAGCTCAAGCCCTTGTCAAGCAGTGGGGTTGGCATTTGGAGTTGCTGGAATTTCAAGTGGTGGGTGCACATCTTTGGAGAAAGCCTTGTGTCTTTGATTGCGGGTAACTGATTTTCTATCACTCGCCCAAACGGCAATGGAAACATCAGACTTGCCTGTACTTTCCCTTGTTTCCCAGGAATGTCAACTACATCACGTCTTGGCTGAGCATCGTAGGGCCCGTTGTTGGGCTGAATCTACCTCTGAGTTATGCCAGAGCCACCTCGCCCTCTGGGGATGAATGAAATGTCAATTGACAAGGTAAAAGGAAAGCCTGGACCGAGTGTCTCGCTGTTACAGAGATCCCAGTGCCCCTTTTGCACGTAGACACGTTGTCTCTGCTGGCCCTGCCATGCTTGAAGTTTGCTTTCGTGTTTAATAGGCTGACCACTGACTTGTTACTTAAAAATTTCCAAGCAGCCAGCACCCAAACATTGAGGAAGCATTTGCTGTCCTATCAGCGACACTCCCATAGCAAAGGACTGGGCGGTTTTATTTTGGAATTGACATTCTTGAAATGAGTCCTTACTGCTCAGTTAACCTTTTATTCTCTTGGTTTCTGTTTTGTTCTTGTTCTGCAGATTTTTCTGTTGAGCTGAAGAGCTTAGAAATCGCAGCATGAGGAACCCTGGAGGTTTATATGCTGACCCTGGTTTTAGTGGGACCACTGCCCTGAGTTTTCCGCTCACCAAGATTTTGACATGGATTTTTTTTCCTCCTTGGAAGCAAATGTCTGCAGCAACTGATATACGATATATTTAAAAGAAGCACCTCAAAGACACAAATCAATATAAATAGCAAAAAATGAGCCTAACTCGAGCATAGAAATGCTGACATCATTACGGCTTTTTCGAGTCATTCTTCCATGTCTCTGAGACTGTTTCCTTCAGTTTTCCTGTGAGAATAACAAGCTGCCTCAGTAGGGTTGCTGTGGGGACCACATGAGGCCATCGATAGATGGGAAATGTTGTAAAGTGTTATACAAATATGCCTTAATGCTCTCCTTTCTGGCGTTTGGTTGTTAGTCACCCAGTCTGTCAATAAATTTACGAGCCAGTAAGGTATTCGGATGAACATCATCTGGAAGGATTTTTGGTTGGGGGTTGCTTGTTGTAAGAGAAAGATGTAATTGGCTCTTTAGAGCACCTAGTTTAGTGTCTGCTGGTGAGGGATGCACTTTAGGATCCCCCGAGCTTGTTTTACAAGTACGAATACTGGCCTCCACCTTCTGAAACAGCCTCTCTGGGCGATTCTGCTGCACAGGGGCTCTGGTCTGGATGTGGGGCGTTTATCTGTGCTGTTTGGGCTTCCCAATAGGCCTTTTCTGACTCTGTGTTTAGCTCCGGCTATTAGGACTGACTTCCTAGCTCATGTCTGGGTGTTGCCCGGAGACTTCTGGATGGTGGGGGACAGTGAGGAAGGCCAGGAGGCATCTGCTCACAAGGAGGCCCCTGGGGTGAGCAGTCGGAGCCCAGGCTGAATAGAAGAGCACTGTGACAGTCCTTCCAGTCTGTGGGTTAAGGGCTGAACTCTCAGAGGGAGTGGAGATAGAGAAAGGGTTAATTCGAACTGCTAGAAAAGCTAAAAGTAAATTTTAAAATGCTGAGCTGCACATATTCATGCTGGGGTGAGAGCATGCTTGCTGGGCATTTTGGCATTTACCACTTAACATCTTTTCAACTTCTGCAAGGAACACCCCCCGCCCCCCAACCCCAGTGTAAACACAGATTTCTCAGCAGGCTATTTCTCAAGACAGGTCATTCCTGGGGTAAAAAATATGTATAAAATAATGTGTCATCTGGATTCTGTACTTGTCTGGAAATATTAGTTATCTTTTGCTAACAGATTCTGAGATGATAGTAGTCTATCAGTTTGGGGTTAGTGTGTAAGTTTTTTCTGTAATTGATGGAGATGTGAAAATTCATGACTGGCAGAAAAACGTTCTGAAGCTCTCCTGTGGGTGGCAGAGACCTCCCTCCCTGGATCCTTCTCAGGCGGCCCTGTTGTTTTTTTTCAGATTGTTTTACACTTAAAAAAACTTTTACTTTTTGTCCTCAGTTTACTCATTTGAGGATGTTTAGCTATGTGACTGTGAGGCCCACTCCAGTTCTTAGGTCTGTGAAACAGCGAAAAAGCTAGAGATCCACACTGTGAGTCTGGTTAGCTGCTAGCTGTATGTCTTAGGCCAATTTTCTTAATCTCCTTTAGTCTTTTACCATTTCTATCAAAAAAGCCTACAGCATCTATCCCACTCACCCAGCAAGGGCAGAGACCAAAATGGTAAGCCAATCTAGGTGCGCTCTATAACCAACATGATGCCCCGTGGAGTGAGGGGGACAGCAGGCCACTGGCCCCTGCCCCTGTGGGGACATGAGCACACCCCCTCCTTCCCGCCTCATTTCATGCCTGACTCCTCCCCAGTGCAAATGGCTCCTGATCAGGCAGGTCCCCTCTGCCTCAGTTATCTGACCCTTGCTCCTGCTGGTTCCCACCTGGAAGTGCTTCTTTCCCTATCCCTCTACCCAATTCCCAACCTAGTCTCTACAGTTCACTCTTTCACAAAACGTCACCGACCCCCACAGCCCCCACTGGGTGAGCTCTCCCTCCTTCACTCACTGTACCTAATTGTATTAGCATTTGTCTCCCTTTCACACTGATTTCCTTCCTTTCTTAATTACTGGTGGTAACTGAAGGTGATGACCTGCTTTTGGAAATGTTCTAGAGTGGCAGGTACAGAAGAGCTGCTGTTCGCCCCTCGTAAGTGGTCCAGAGGAGACTGGGTCTGGGGACTCGAGCGGGTGGGCCAGTTAGTTGAGCCACCAGTGGGAGGGCCAGAGTCTGCGTGATCGTCAAGTACGAGCCCACAAGCTGGAGGTTAAAATACAGGCTAACCACCCCTCCAATGAAAACATATTAAAACTGGGTTTTCACATCCATTTCTCCCAAGATCGGTATAGTTTTTATTTTTACTTTCAATATATTAGGAAATGGAGATCTTCAAGGTTAAAACCAGCTCTTTGTGTAATTCAGGGAGCTGATAGTCCCATGAGTTGGGTTTTTTTAGAATTAAAATTTGAGAATAAAATACTCAGGTATTCGCTTCAGCAGATACTTACTGAGTCCCTCTGAAGTACTGAGCCCTAGGCCAGGTGCCAGGGACAGCAAACAGGCAGCACCCTGGCTCATAAGAATGCTCCGTCCGGTGGAGAGACGGACTGAGGAAGATTCGGGGCAGTAACGTGGGCTGCGGCAGAGCTGCGGCAAGCAGGCGTGAGGGAACGTTCGAGAAGAGGGCTACGAGTGGAGCCACATCAGAAATGGAGGGGAGCCCTTGGAAGTGCGTGTGGGGACGTGGGGGAGAGAGAGGCTGGCTAGCAGGGCCGGGGCCAGGTCTGGAGGAGCCTTTATTGCCACGCTGACCATTTATACCTGACCCGAAAACCACAAAGAGCCGCTGAGGGAATATTCAAGTAAAGGAGTTAAAGCGGTCACATTTGCATTTTGGAAAGAACCTGTATTTTTTAAATGACTACTGCACATAACTAATCACACACACAGAGTCCGTTTTTTCACCAGCAGGTACTCGCCATTGGCTCTAGAAGGTACAGGAGTGCAGCAAGGGCTGGGAGTGTGCCAAGGACTCGCTTCAGCTCTGCCGGAGCCTCCGAAGGCCGGGTCCTAAAGGCCTAAGTCCTGGCTTACTGTTTTACCTGGAGCGAGTCACTGCACTCCCCGAGTCTCTGGTTCTTAATGGAAGGAAGTGCATTAGGTAGAGTAAAAATCAATGTATTGGTTTATGACAAGTATTTTCTTTTTTTTAAATGAAATAGAGTACATCTGGGAAAAACACTCCCTGTGTTTCTCCGTAACTCTCACACATTACCATACTCACAACACTCCTGACACGAGATGTGGGGGTCTGTCACACATCAAGCAACCTGTAACACCAGCTAGTGTCCTGCAACGCAGTTCAGTCTGTCGGTTCTCATACTCTCTACCTGGAGGTCAGTCCCACAAGACTGCCCCCACTTAAGACTCCAGTCTCAAGTCCCAGGTTGTCACCTGTATTTTTAAACAACCACCTTAAATTGGGGTTCCCATGACCCCCTCCTTGGGTTCAGTAATTTGCTAGAATGGCTCACAGTACTCGGAAACACTTATGTTTACCAGTTTATTACTGGTAATAGAGACTATGACAAATAGGAAGATGAAGTTATATATAGGGCAGAGTGCAGAGTCCCACATGCAGGAGCCTCTGTCCCCATGGAGTTGGGGTGCATCACTGTCCTGGCAGCTCTCGGAGCCTTGCTCTGGGGACGTTATGGAGGCTTCCTGCATAAGCATCATTGCTCATTTACTCCACTGCTATTTCCTGTCCCCTTCCCGAATGGTGGGGAATGGGGCAGAAAGTTCTGAGCTTCTAATCAGAGCTTGGTCTTCCTGGTGACTAGCCCCCCATCCTTAAACTATTCAGGAGCCCACCTAGAATTGCCTCATTAGAACAAATGACGCTCCTATCACCCAGGAAATTCCAAGGGATTTAGGAGCTAGAAATTCCAAGGGTGTCAGGAACTAGAGTCGAAGACCAAACGGTAGAACAGAAGATGCTCCTAGTGTTCTTATCACCCAGGAAATTACAAAGGTTTTAGGAGCTCTTTGCTAGGAACTGGGGGCAGAGACCAATAAATATATTTTCTATTATTTCATAAATACATAGGAAAAAGTGCATTGCACATTGTATATGAGTATTATTATTTTGTGAAGCTTTGGTTTCAACTACATTTTATATATATATATGTGTGTGTGTGTGTGTATGTATGTGTATATATATGTATGTATGTATGTATATGTATATGTGTGTGTGTGCTAGGTTGTGATGAAATTGTATTTCTAACTCCAGAGAACGGCCAGAGATTTGAACGCTAATAGATATATAAGCTCCCTTCCAATTCTAAGACCCTCTGGTTTCCTCCTTGTATTGTTACCAGTAGGTTGCTGAAGGTCATTCTAGGAGGGCATATGAAGTACTGACCTGTTATTGTGCACATGACATTAGGCTACTTTAACATGTACATAGGTCCCTGCAGCTACCCCGCTGGGTTTTTGTAGGGCTTGCCTATGAAGGTGCTTTCACATTTTTATTCTTGAAATTGGTAGTGTTCTTTCAAGCCGTGATGTAAAGCCCTTGCTTTTACTCAACTTTTGTGCTGTCAACAGTGACACCTAGTGGTGTGTAGCCCTGTTACAGGTATCCTGAATTCTAGAGCATTAGAGCTGAAATGTGATTTGAGATCACCAAGTCCCATTTTATATTTTGAAAAAACTGGAATATTATTTTTTCAAAAACCTGAAACTCACATGTATTCATTTATTCCTTCCTTCATTAACTTTACATGAGAATAAATAAAGCCTGTGACTTCTTGGTGATTTCTTGGATTATTTTGAAGCTTTTCAAATGCCCAGAAATCACTGTTAATTATAACCATGAGGGAGAAATTTAACAAAGCATGCCCTGATAGGTTAATGGGAAATCATAGTCCAGTATATCTACAGCCTTTGGTGCATTGATATTTACACACTTATGCCAGATCTTCAGGGTTTAGCATGGTGCCTGGCACTTGGTAGTGCTCAGTAAATCGCTGTGGAGTATTTGTATATGTGGGTGATCACTGAGCCCAGGGGAAGGCTGCCATGGCCTCCTTTCTGCCAGCGCCAGGGACTGCTTTCCTCTTTGGGAGCCACCACCTACTCCTTCCTTTGAGAAGCTTTCTTTCTCCTGGCACCAGCAGCAGAATAGGATGTGGTCTCCTCAGCCCCCTCCTCAATAGGTTCAGAGAGAATGCCCAGGCTTTTCCTGATTATTAACAGAAAACTGGCGAAATAAAATGTGGTTCTGCAGAGCAGTTAAGGGGAGTGAATTCAATCCCATGTATCAAAATAGGCAGTTCTCATAAATAGGTTGTTAAAACAGAAAGACGAAAAACCTAGATGCTAACTATACACTCAACACTAAAAATACACCATACCATACATTTTGTATAGTGCATATAAAATATATGTAAAAACAAAAATGGCC